TTTGACTTATCAGGATGGCGCCAGAAACATTTCGCATACCATTTGACTATTCAGATAATGGGTGGTGATCGTGTCCCGTCACTGAATCTCGATGAGCCTGTTTCAATGCGAAAATTGCGTATATTTTATATGGAAGGTATCAATGATGTACCGTTGATACAACCACTGAGCAGGGACATGAGGACAACTCTGCGGAAAGTATGTTTACTGCCTCTTTTACCTCTGAAATCTTCAAAATATCAAACTGTCGTTCGTCATGGTTCCAAGTACTTCTAGACCCCTCTGATAAACAAGTAGTTTTCGACCTTGTTTTGTTACAGTTTTCACTTGTCTGGCAACTTCCAGGCTGTCGGCTATTTTGAGCGCAAATATGATCTTGTTGCCCATCGGATGGATCTGCCATTAGCTCGTTACGCCATCGAAATGTTTATGGTCAGCATGTACATCAAGGGTGGTCCTAAGTTATCTGAATATATGTTGTGCTCTAAGGTAAGTAATATGACTATGATTAGGGAGAGTTCTCGTTGTATGTACTTCCTATTATTCTGGAACTCAGGCTTCCAAAGGTCGAGTTAACCCCTTTGTGGAGTTGGTGAAATTTGTCCTGGGTAAATCCAATCACACATTACCGGGAATCATCGGAGCTATAATCGACAACAGCGATGCATTGAGTGACGAGCAGAAGAAAGAGGTGTGTCGACGTTTCTGTTTGTTCGACTTTTGCCTTTTCTTGTTATTATTTTTATTGGCTTTGCAATTGGGATGTAGTATGGAGAATTGGTGTGCTTTTCCCTTACTCATTATTCCTCATTCAGATATCTTACAAACGTGATCGGTTAATCCGTGAATTGAAGGAGCTTCTAGGGACTGATGGCATATTCCTATTCCCCAGGTAATCCACCCATTTGTTTGTTCGTTTGTTAGTTTGTCTCAAATGCTTTTTACTCACTGGTTCTACCTCCTCAGAGACAGTCCCCGCGTTCAAACAAATCGTGAGCGTCCTTCCTCATTCATGGTCAGTCCCGCTGTCTCTAAGATTGTCCTTTTTCGCGGCCCCACACTAAGTGGCGAAGGCGCTGCGGTCGTCATAAATGGCAGTTCTGACGCCTCCCTAACTGTCCTGTCTACCAAATCTCAAAGGCGTTTTTCCGTCATGAGTTCAGTCCCGCTGTCTCTAAGATTGTCCTTTTCTTATATCCTTGTCCTTGTTCTTATATCTTTTCGTTCTATTTTCCTGTCAGATGGTATTAGCACTGGATGATGCGAAGAAATATAAAGTGAGCCAGGGAAGGCAGAATACCGCTTCGCTGGCATAAAACGAGCAGCGGAGAACCCGCACGCTAGACGGCCGGGTCTTACTTAGGGGCTCTCCATGACTTTTTTTGCTTTATCCTGTGCTAATACCATCT